GGGAAGAGTGCAATGATAATACCAACATAAGCCAGTGAAACAACATCCTCCACAACTAGACTGAAGAACAAAACAACCGCAACTTATCTGTTCCCCTTCCTGCAATTCCCCAGCACTGTTCCCCTCCCCCAATTCCCCAATAAAATCTTAAAAAAAAAAAAAGTTGGGGATTTCTTTTAAGCTTTCATTATCAGGGCCACCTCATTTCCACCAGTGGACTGCTCAGGTCTGAGCCTACTGGATCTCTAGTTCTCCATCAGATAAATTGCAGGCTTGTGAGGGAGCCCATGGTCATCCTCCCTAGAAGCTAGATTTCCTGGCCTTCAACCACAGTCTCCTTTTTTTTAAATAAGCTTTATTGGGGAACAGTGTGTTTTTCCAGGATTCATCAGCTCCAAGTCAAGTCATGGTTTTCAATCTAGTTGTGGAGGGTTCAGCTCACTGGCCCATGTGGGAATCTAACCAGCAACCTTGGTGTTATGAGCCTGCGCTCTAACCACCTGAGCCAACTGGCCACCCAACCACAGTCTCCTTTGACTGGACCTTTCATGGCTGTGGCCAGACCCCTGTGAGACAGAACACCTTACCTTCCCACCAAGCATAGATGGATGGGCAATCTTAGAGCCCCTGCCTCACCCCTCCTTGGCCAGAATCCCTCACTTTTGGGGTCCAAGAGATCTTGTCCTGAGATTAGTGAGTACTCTGTCTGCTTGATTCCCAATTTGGGGTTTACTTTCAGATATGTGTCCTGAGGATCTGCCCTCACTTGGCAGATATGTTCCCACATCCTTGGATGTCTGCCCAAACCCCAGCTCTCAGTCTTAGCCACGGAGGCCTACCTTTCTAACACCTGCTGTATTGACAAGAGCCCAGGGAAGGAAACTGACATGAAGTGATTAAGTTGGAAAACCCAGTAAGCAAATTCACATTGGTATAATTTGGATTAGGAGAATCAGAAAGAAGTGAACAAAAGGTAAGGAAGGAGTATTGAGGCCAGTCTCCAGCCCTGCACCACACACTTAACAAGTGAGTGTTGTCACTGTAGCTTGAAACCAAAAGATGGCAAAGGGAGCATCGGGAGTGGAATCACAGTGGTGGAAAAATGATCTCTTGGGGAAACCACTTGGTCATGTGAAAAGAAACTCAACACCCATTATCTTGGCAAGAATGTGACTGGCATTACCAACCTGCTTTGATTAATGAGCAGAACCCATAAATAAGAAATGAGCTGGAAACCACCAGGAGAAAACATTAATGTGCTGTGCTGTTGCCAGTGCAGAGTGGATATTGCAGGGCTCCGAATATTTGACCTATTGCTGCCTCCATGATCATTCATTCATTCATTCATTCAGCCAGCATTCAGCCAATACCTGAGTAATAAGGCAGCCAGGGCAAAGGGGTCCTGGGGTTACAATGGTGAACAAAATAGACACATACCCTCCCTCGCTGAGCTTGTACCTACCCTGGGAAACAGACATCAATTACTGATATGAGATAAATGCTGTGGCTAGGGTCCTGGAGTAAGAGACATTTACCGAGATCTGAAGGATTGACAGGAGTTGGCCAGACAAGTGGCTTAGCAGTGGCATGTGGTGCTTTAGTGGTTAATTTTGCAAACAGTGATATTTGTTTCTTCTTCAAATTTCTTTCTAGGATGTTCAGTTCTTCTCCACAATGAATGAGTGTCACTATGATAAGCAGATGGACTTTTTTTATAATAAGAGCAACACTGACACTGCCGATGAATGGACAGGAACGACGCTTGTGATTGTTTTGTGTGTTGGAACATTTTTCTGCCTGTTTATATTTTTTTCTAATTCTCTGGTCATCGCAGCAGTGATCAAAAACAGAAAGTTTCATTTCCCCTTCTACTACCTGTTGGCTAACCTAGCTGCTGCAGATTTCTTTGCTGGAATTGCCTATGTATACCTGATGTTTAACACTGGCCCTGTTTCAAAAACTTTGACCGTCAACCGCTGGTTTCTCCGCCAGGGGCTTCTGGACACTAGCTTGACCGCCTCCCTGACCAATTTGCTGGTTATTGCCGTGGAGAGGCACATGTCAATCATGAGGATGCGGGTCCACAGCAACCTGACCAAAAAGAGGGTGATACTCCTCATTTTGTTCGTCTGGGCCATTGCCATCTTTATGGGGGCAGTCCCCACACTGGGCTGGAATTGCCTCTGTGACATCTCCGCCTGCTCTTCCCTGGCCCCCATTTACAGCAGGAGTTACCTCATTTTCTGGACTGTGTCCAACCTCGTGGCCTTCTTCATCATGGTTGTGGTGTACCTGCGGATCTACATGTATGTCAAGAGGAAAACCAACGTCTTGTCTCCACATACAAGTGGGTCCATCAGCCGCCGGAAGACACCCATGAAGCTAATGAAGACGGTGATGACTGTCTTAGGTAAGAGGAACCAAGGGAGCCATTATTCCCATTTATTCAGCAAATATTTATTGAGCACTTACTGTATACAAGGCACTGACTAGGTAGTAGAAATGCAGCACTGGATAAGAACAGATGTAAATCCCCACCTGGCTGGAGTTTATGCTCTAGTACAGGAAGACAAAATAAGTATTTTAATGGGGAGAAACAAAATAATTTTATAATAAATTTCATTATTATTAGATTTATAAACTAAGAGGTTGGTGAGTCTTACTGAGAAAAATAAAGCAGGGAAGGGAGAGAAGGAGTGCTAAGCAGATATCAGTTGCAGTTTTCAAAAATGTTGTGTGGGACACCTTCATCTAGATGATTTTTGAGCAGAGATGTGAAGGTGGTGAGGGAGGGAAGCAAGTGTCTGGGGAAGAGTGTTCCAGGCTGAAGATGCAATAAGCACAGGAGCTCTGAACAGAAGCAGGAGAGTGTGGCCGGAGTGGAGGGAACAAGGGGAGCGTAGGAGATGAGGTGAGAGAGCTAAGGGCATAGGATGGGGCGACTCAGATTATACAGGGCTGAGTAACTATCATAAGGACGTAGGCTTTTCTGAGTAAGATGAGAAGACATTGGGAGGTTCTGAATAAGGGAGTGACAGGATCTGACTTCCGTGTTAGTGACATCTCTCTGGCTGCTGTTTTGAGAAAATACTGTAGTGGGACAAGGGCAAAAGCGAGAGAATTGCTTGTGAGGGTATTTCAGTACTCAGGACGGATGATAGTGACTAGGACCAGAGGGCAGCTTGGAGGTGAGGAGGTGTGGTTAGATTCTGACCTTCCTTAAAGGTAGAGTTGGTAGGATTTGAAGGAAGGTGAGAGGAGGAGGGGAAGGTGGGGAGTGTCATTTACAGAGATGGGGAAGACAGAAGAGGAGGAGGTTCAGGGGGAAGGTCAGGAGTTTAGTTTTGGACAAACTAAGTTTGGGATCTTATTAGACATCCCAGTGGAGTTGCTGAGTATGAATCAGGGGTTCAGGATTTAGGTCCAGCCTGGAGATCTATATTTGAGAGTCATTAGGGTAAGAAATGATATTTTAAACCACAATAGTGGATGAGCTCACCACGGAGGAGAAAAGACCAAGGAACGAGCCTGGAGCACTCCAGTGCGAAGAGCGGGGAGGGCAGGGAGTCACAAGCAAAGGATCCCCAGAAGGAGTAGCCAAGACCTCTGAATATGGGGGCCTAGAAGCCAACAGAGAGAAGCTATTGAAGGAAAGTAAGTATCAGCACTGGTAAGCCTCCTGAGAGGTGGAGTCAGACGACCTTACTGGGTTTAGCAGAGTGGCAGTTTTCTAGTGTAGCCAACAGTATGATCGGAATAAAATGAAGAAAAAAAGGGAGGCAAGGACAGCGAGTCTGAGCAGCTCTGAGGAGTTGGCTTTGTACTGTGAGCCGTGTACCAAGAAGACACATTTGGCGTGAAGAATTTTCCCTTTGTTTTGTTTTCACTATGGTAGGTGTCCTGTTGTCCCCCAGTTCCCATCCTGGGTTATAGGCAGAGTTTGTGATGAGTGGGCAGACAAGAACTTTTGTGGTTTCACAGGCCTTGTCTTCTACTTTATAACCTTTCCTTACCCTGTGCTGTGGTGACAGCAATGGGGACTGTTATTGAGAGATATAGGAACATTTTTTTCTGTCAAGTCTCAGGGAAGGAATTATAAAATGAATTCTTGGGGGACAATTCCTATTAGAAGGTGCAGAGCATATGTGATGTGGTACAGGAACCATCACCATGTCGCTAGGTCCTGAAATTGCTAGTAAGATTTGAAAGTCAGCAGACACACAGCATGATTGTTAAATTCAAACTCAGGGTTTGTTTTAGTTAACAAATGTGAATATAGTATTTAATATATGTCAAGCATTGTCCTAAGTATCTTACATATATTAATTTATTTAATCCTCATGGCAACCATGTGAGGTTAGTACTATTACCCGGTTTTTACCAGATAAAGAAACTGAGCAGAGAGTTTAAAGCAGTATGCTCAGGGTCACTCAACTTTTACTGGTGGAACCATGACTGACCAGTTGGCCTTTGGTGTCCACATGTTTAACACCACACTCTGCAGCTAGTTTTGATTTGTTTGGACTTTTTACTGGCCTCCTCTTTGTTTTGTCTTCTGCTTTGACCATCTCCTTCCTCTTTGAATGTCTTGACAAGAATATAGACAAGCATAAGAAAAGGAGAGATCACACTAAATCATTTTTTCCAATTTTGAGCTAGAGAGATATTTTTGGTAGACTGTAAAGTTTGGTATTTATTGCTAGTGTCAATGAACTCTGCTACTCTCCCTGCTTAACTTGCAATCATAATGGTTTGCTTGGCTTTGTGTCTTGAGAAATTACCTGCCTGATTAGGGAGAAAACTTGTTTTTTTTTAGCATATTATGTAACATATACAGCATGAGACAGAAAAGACTTCTGTAATCCCAGGTGGAGAGAATAGGACTCTTTGTGAGATGGTCATGGTCACTCGCTTCAGTTTCATATGTAACTTTGTCTGGAACATATGGAAGGATTTAAAACAAAGGAGCTGTGTGGTTTTGGTAAGTGTGGTATTGGATAACGGAAAAACTGGAATAAACAGTGAAATTGCCAAGTAGGATAAGAGAAGTCGTGGCCTCGAGATGGAACAACATCAGGGAATTGGTTAGTGACAGGAAGACAGTTTGGTGTTGAGGATTTGGGGAAGTTCCTCCGTGGTGAGACAGAGGGATCTGGGGGGAAGACAGGAAGTTTGGGGATAGGGGAAATGAAACTGAAGAGCTAGGTGGCATGAGGTTTTTAGACTTCTAGTTTCCAATTTCTTTGGATAACAGAAGATTTGGGTGTTAGCCCCAACTCTCTCATTTTCTACAAGCGTAATTTGAAGCACATTAGCTTACCTTTTCCTAGTTAAACTTTCTCTTCTGAGATGGACTAGATATTCTTTAAGTTCTTCCAAAGTTATGAAATTCAATGGTCCTGTTATCACAATAAGTAACCAAAGCCAACACAGAGTTCTGTGGATTGACTGGTATGAAAGCACAGAGTCTCCTTCGGTGACAGCATCGAACATAGTATCTCCTTAGGGAGGAAGCTTCTCAGTTGCTCAGATACACATAAGAATTCAGTTGCCTAAAACAAGTGTCTCCTATATATGATAGTACAGTAAAACCTCAGATTGTGAGTAACTTGGTTTGCGAGTGCTCCGCAAGACGAACAGACATTTCTATTAGGTTGGTGCAAAAGCAATAATGATTTTGCCATTACTCGCAATGGCAAAAAAACGCAATTACTTTTGCACCAACCTAATAATACATTTTAAGTTGGTAAATGAGCGATGTCTTGCAATACGAGTAGTTTGTTTCCGGAACGAATTATGCTTGCAAACCGAGGTATTACTGTATATCAGAAAAATCAACAGTGCTAGCATCTACGATCATTGTTGTCACTGGTTCTGAGTATATGGAAATAAATAGCTTAATACCTATTTGTATAATGATTACCTGATTTAAGTATCTTCATGATAAAGTGCTAAACCTTTCTATTTACTCCTTGATATGTATGTTGCAGGAAAGGTTAATTTAAGATGAAAGTTTCTTATAAACACAACTTCTTTTAAATATTAGGAAGTCAATCAATAAATATATATTAACTGTCTGTTAAACATCACCTAAGAGGTGAAAGGGTTGCATGAATTCAGTGAACTTAATCACATTTCAGAGAAGGAAGAAAGAATGGACAGGGACTAGAGTTTGGGGAAGGCTTTTTAGAGAGCTTGAGATGTGATCTAAAAGGATGGGTGGGATTTGCATGGGCAGGAGGGAAAAATATTCTAAGTAGGATAAATAGTATAATAAAAAGTATGATGGTAAAAACATCTGAAGTTTTTGCAGTACCACAAGGAAGGCCCTGCAGAGCACAAATGCATGTGGTGGTACAAAGGGAAATAGTTCAACTGTGAGCTGGAAAAGTTTAGTTGGCCATCGATTTTGGCAGGAGAGAGGTAGACCAGATGACCCTTGTGTTTCTTTCCAGCTTTAGGATTTTGGTTGAACACAAAAGCATATGGAGCTGGATGGGGAGCAGATTCTTTCCTTGTTGAGGGAGGTGGTGGTAGTGATGATGGTGGTGTGAATTTTAAATCTGTGCATGACTGGAAAGGCATCTAGTCATTGTGTTCCCATTTCAGCAGCCCTGAGGCAGAATTCTTGCTCACTTCTGGGTTATGATGTGTCATGAGCCCTTTACGTGAAAGAAGTTGCTTATTGAATGTTCTCATTGAAAAGACATTGGCGACATATAATCCTACTTTCCACAGGGCACCAAGGCTCTGCTTAAGAGGCAGCCCTGTATTTTGAAATTCTACTTGTTAATATGCTTAATCAACTGCAACAACTAAACACACAAGAAACCCCACATGGAAACCTCTCTTTTATTGTCCAACAAAACACCATGTAAACTGTACACACAGGGATGTTTTGTTTCCTAGGAAATAGGCTGGCTTCCTTCTATTTTGCAATGTCTTTAAATGCAAAAGAAAAGAAAGGTTGCAGGAATTTGTGAACTACACTTTTGAAATCTTCCGTGAACCTTCTTGACTCATGGTGTTTTTCAAACTGCAGGCTGTGACCCACTAACAAGTAATGAAATCAATTAGGTGATCATAACTTGACACTTGTTTTAATGACAAAATAGAAAAGAAGAAAAACTATCTGGGTGCATTGAACTTAGTAGGTATAAGCATTGTTTTATAATGTGTGTGTGTGTGTGTGTGTGTGTGTGTATTGGATTATGGTATAAAATGTATTTCTTACTGTGGATTATGGTCAAGAACATTTGAAAAGCCATGGTCTTAGGGTCAAAGTTTCTTTTTTGGCCAGTAAGAACTGAACTCTTTTAAAATATGAGAAACATTATAGTGAAGGGCCTTTGAAAAGGTTTGTGGTAATTGAAACAAGGAGCTGAATGCTTTTCCTCCCATTTCTTTCTC